GTTAAATAGTCGCATTCAATATATTATTATATTTCTCATATGTTTGAAATAACTGTTTGTTTTCAAAAAGCACTCATTTTCTTTTATAAACTTTCGCGATTCCATACAAGTTGAACAAGAATTCATTATACAACCACTTGCCTAATCAGTCTTTGAAACCTTCACCTTTACAGGAAAAATATCATGAAACTTCTAAGTCTTCAAGTTCCCACAATTTGCGAAACCTTCCTCCCTCTTCTCAAATACTTTCTAAGTATTAAATCACAATGTTACTAAATAGCCTTCATGAAATTTTTTAAATAAAATATAGATATAATTATAATATCTTTAAGCTGCAGGCCAACTCGTCGACTGATAACTGTTAAAACTTTTCGAAGCGACCTAGATTTATTATTTATTATTTGAATTTTTAAAGCTACTAATGCCACTTCGAAAAGTTATCGTTTACGGATGTACGAGGTACCTTGAATAAGCTTATAACATACTCATATACCTTATATACATATGTATGTAATATATAAATTATCATTTATTAGATACTTTAAAAGCAATATAGTTAATGGCTTGATGTCTGTTTCTTTGAAAAAAAAATCAGCTATTTATATATATTTTTTTAATTTCTATAGTTACACAATTTTTCTGAGCATTAAAAATCAGTTTTTAAGTTTGTACGCGTATACATGTAGTGGATGGCGTAGCAGCTAATATACAATCTTCGCATAATTTCTGTGGTGAATTAGTTTACCTGAGATGTTCGTAGCGTCGAGCTTGCAGTAATGAATATCTTTAAAATAAACGCGACTGAAGTCTAATATATTATGCACAACTTTTTAGAAGTTCCTTAAGTACATACCATTATGTGTTAATATTAGGTACTGTTACTATTTGTAGTCAGCCCTTTTGTAACGTAACGGTAAGTAAGCGTTGAGGAAAATTAGGTATTAGTTTTTATAAATGTAGATAGTTTTTATGAATGTAGAATTTTACTTTCCATGATAAACGAATCACATTGAATATTACAACTATATATTTCACGAATTGTTAAAAGTTCAGCGACAAACCTAATCAAAATAATAGTCAAATTTAATATACTAGTATACTCATTTTGAAAATTGAACTGACGTGTGTGTATGCATTTTAATATAGTATTATTTTTTAAATATTTAGATAGAGTTTGAGAATAAAAAAATAATTTAAATATAAAGTTAGCCATTATAATTCACGATTATCTATTTCCAAACACTACGTACTCAAACAGAAGCCGATTATGTGAAATAATTGATCTATTTATTACGGGCGAATTGGAGTAAACCAAGTGTACTATTTCGAATTAACTGTAATATCTAGTTGTATATTAATTATTAGCGTTAATTTTTATATGTTTATTAGGGCACACGACAATTTTTAATGTCTTGTTCGTCTAGTAAGTAGTCTGTAGATCCGGAGAGCCTGAGTACGAGTCTCTGGTAGAGTCCGAAATATTTTTGGGTGATTCTGTTAAGAAATGTCAGTAAAAGCTCGGAGATTATAAGTTGGCGTTGTTACAATTCCGTAGCTCAGATGGCTCGTTAAGATATCGGTTAAACGTCTGATTCTTCACCAATCGTGTCGTTGTCGTCAGGGAAAGGAAAATAGAGTGGACATCTTGTGCTGCCGTAGCCGAAGTCTGTTCGGAGGACATTATTATTGAGGGCCACAATATTATGCCCGAAATCCCATCAAGCCTTTGCTATGTGAGGGAAGGAAAATTTAAAATGGCTAAACTAATAAAAGCATTTATTTTAACTCTTTAATACGAGTACAAATTGAAAAAATAGTTTCCTGAACTTGTTAATAATACTATAATTGACCTTTAATCACAGCTCTAACAGAGCCAAAGGCAATAATAATTACATGCGTGATGATTACAATTTTAATAGCTGAACATATATTTATATAAATAATAATAAATGAAGTAGACACAATTTGATAAAGCAAGGGGCGTTCAATAAAAAGTAACTTTTATTAAATGTTATTTTATTTTTCTATATATTTGCCTTTTAGCATAATACACTTGTAATATCTTTATTCTAAGCTTAAAATTCCTTTCTTTAAAACTCGTCATCCTGAGCTTTTAAAAATTCCTGAACTGTAATTGCATTTCTTAGTTTTTGATTTCATATATTGTCTGTTTTTTTTGGAACAGCTAATATCTGCTAAAATTGTAGCCTTCGCCACTGCTAATTTATACATATATCTAATTGCTTTAAATACCAAATTGTTTAGGCACTATTTATCTATAATTTCCTTTAGTAGGAAACCTTAAAATTAGCACTCACTAAATAAATACGTAAATACTTGCTGCGTAAGCAAATATTTACCCTAAACTCAAACTTCCGTGTGCTGCTGAGCTTTATGCTTGCAAAGCCTCGTGCCTCGTGCCTCGTGCAAGTGTTAGTTCTATTGCATCTAATGAATGATATTTTCATATGCGAATTATTTTTTACATGATTACCACTTGTCCTATAGTGAAGCAAAACATCGTGAGTAAAACTGCACGTTTTGGAGAACCTAACAAGTTTTCGAAAGACATGTCAAGTCCGCTAACCCGGACTTGGCCAGCGTGGTGGACTATAATCTGATCCCCCTCGTGTTGAAGGGAGAAAAAAAGATAGAAATCGATAGATAGATATAAATCAGTTTCCGTTATAAATCCTGAGCCAGCCGCCCTCTGTAATAAGGGGTATGATCATTTCAAAACAACGTCACCTTGATATCAGTTTATATCCTTTTCTCAATATTATTTATATATCCTAAATTCATGTAATTTTAAAAAACAAGAACGCTGTAAGTACTTAATGTATCCAAACTAAAATAGATAATTCCTTTGGCCAAGAGGCCAAGATGTAAAAATACCGCGATAGTCATAATTTGTTTACGATAGAATTAAACTAAAAATAATAGAAAACTTTTTCATTTGCTTGAAATAATAATACCACATAGACGAAGATGGATTTTAAGTTGAATTTAAATTATTTTCTCCCAGCAGGTTTATACATTCCTTTATATAAGTAGTTATTAAAGTTACCTATCATAGTTTTCGGTAAGAGTTGCTTCAAATGCCTTTTGGTTTGCATGTTTGGTATTATTTACTCTGCCAGAGAGTCAAATAGTCATCTCAAAACATAACGGACATCGTAAATGTTTGTCGTGTACCAAGCGACAAAATCGCATGAATGAATTTTGCCTTTACGCTGTCGCTATCTATGAACGCCGCTGAGCTTGAGTTCATTCCACGTAAAAATTCGCTACGAACATCTCTATTAATGTTAGGTAAAGTCAACTTTGATATATTCGATTTTGGTAGTGTAATTTTTAAACTGCCAATGCTGCAATAAAGCCTCCTAGGCTTCAATTTCAAAGCTACTTCATTCATGGCATATTACGAGTATTGCAGAGTATAATAAGCTAAAATGACTAAGCACTTTTATTTGTTAAAATATCAGATATCGTAATTCATCTTAAAAAGAATGTAATATAGAACGTCCATCCTCCTTCTGAACAAGATCACTTTCGCGGTGACTGTCTCACTTGTAAATAATGAGGGTTCTAAGCTTAAAATTCCGCTTTTCCTCTTAGATTAAAGGATTTTTACTTTTTTTTCTTACATCTTAGTGGGTGTAGTGTGCGGTGCAGGAAAAATGCAATTAAAAGGTACTTTTTAATTAAATGGCATGTTTGCGAAAAAAAATTCGATCGTTATACGTGTCATTGCTATTTATTAGTTTAGTCAACAAATTGAAAAACGCGGTAATTTTTGCTTCTGTAAATCAAAATACGTGCGGTGCGATACCTCGTTGGATTCATTATAATGTCTAGAAAAATGTGGAAAAATATCGAACCCACACATAAACAGTTGCAAAAGTTATAAACAATTAAGGATTTATAAAAAGGGGGTTGAAATTTTATGCAAATTTATTATTTAAAAACTATTTGTGCTAGAGGAATTTCAAAAAGATTAAGATTTTTAAAGAGGAGGGAGTTTTCGAAAAAAAAATCGACTTCCGGAACTTGACTTGTATTATTAATACTTTTTATTTAAGGTTGAAAATAGGCTTCCTCGCGGCTAGTGCAGTGCCGCTGCTTCAAACCAGCAGTTAATCATGATTTTTTAATGTTATTAAAATATGTTAATTAAAAAAATTGAAAACATCTGTCTCATCTAGATAGATACTTGAAAAAAAATATTCCGTAGAAAAATTATTTTTCCGTGATTTTTTAATTAAAATAGCTTATTGTTAATTAAGTATTTTTTTTTACATATTTTCACATTTAAAGCTAGATATTAAACAATAGCTCTTAAATTTATATCGCCTTTTAGAAAATATACTGAACAAACTTATCAGCATGCGGTGTTTTTTGATTGTTATTATCTAGTAGTTATTAAAAAAAACATAAAATGTTGTTTTAATGTTTTAATTTTATTGTTGCTTATATGTTTCGTAGCTCCGAGAGTTAACTTTTTTTTTCAGAAATTTCCTCCTCTTTAAGAATCTGTTTTAAAAAAAATCCTAGCACCAATAATTTTTGAGTAGTTTGCCAAAAACTAGACCCTTTTTTTGAATCTTTAATTGTTTATAATTTTGCAGACATCATAACGAATCCAATGAGGTATCGCACATATTTTAACTCGCAATAGCAAGAATTAACACGTTTTTACGTTACACGTTAGACTGTATAGTTAAAACATTTATAAAGTGTGTAACATAATTTCATCGTTAGACCTTTCATATTTTCTTTTGTTAAAATATTAAGTAATCCTTGCGTAGATAAACAATGGGATCAAAAACGGCGGCTCATTGAGCCGGTACTTTAAGCTTCATATAGCTTAAGCGACAAGGAATTAGGTATTTCGGTAACGTTAAAAAATTGTAACGCTTATTTATAAACAGTTTATTATAATATAATGTTAAAGGTATTCAGTAATTTTATTTAAAATATTTATGCTTTTTTAAACTTACCTTAAACTGGTTCAAAAACTCCTGTTGCCTAGTGATATCTGTGGCCAGGATAAGTGAGCTGATCTGCTTCTCGAGCTTGGGGCGTATGTCGTAGCCTTCTAACAACCCGCTCTCTATAATGCAGCTGATAGCCGAACGCCAGTGATGATTTTCCAGCACAGATGTGTTCTAGTAGAAATAAAAATTAAGATTTAGGTCGCCACAATTTATAAAATACTAGCAGAACCCGCGGCTTCGCTCGCGCTAAAACTACAAAAAATGTCTAAAGAGGTAATACTTTCTTAGATTTACGCGAATATTTGACCTTTTAAATAAAACTATCTTTTCGGATTTTTTTCACCTCAGTCTCTCCCGTTACCATGAATGTTGTAAAGCATTCGAAACGCCGGGAAACAAAAATCCAAATAAATCCGCGACAAAATCCGAAAAGATAGTTTTATTTAAAATGTCTAAAGAGGTATTTTCATACAAACTTTCATCCCCTGTTTTACCCCTTATAGAATGAATTTCGAAAAATGCTAAAACATGTATTTATTTAATTTTTATTATTAAAAGTATTAATGAAAAATTTCAAGTAATTCTGATCATAAATATTTTTTTGGATTGTATTATAACGTGTGTTCCCGTGGAAATTATATAATCTCCCGCGGTAAAAGTAGGCTATGTCACTCTACAGCCCTCCAACTATCTGCACACAAAAATCACGTCAATCCGTCTCTCCGTTTCGACTTGAAAGAAGGACAGATAAACAAAAAAACACACTTTCACATTTATAATATTAGTAAGTATGGATTTTCTTACATTTCGATTTATATAAATCATCAATGATATATGTACATAATATAGCAAGGCTCATTTCAACACTTCTTTAGTTAATTATATTTTTAGAGGCATAAATATTTTTTGATAGGTACTCGAGAAAGATTTTGTAATAGTTACATCATAAAAAGGTTTCTCTTTAAAGCATTTGATAGCGTTAATTTTGCGGCCTTGAAGTTTCTTTCAAATTGATACCATATATCATAATTAATTATATGTTTCATTACCACATGCAGCAATAAAATACTATAAAGATATATTCATTACACTCGAAAAACATTATCCTAATGTTGAGATTCAACACACTTCGTCACCTTATAGCGCTTATTTGTTCCAACGACCAATACTTATTGTACGTTACAGTACAGTTCTTCTCTAAAACCTCTCTCTTTCCTAGAACAATTGATCGATTTTCAGCAAGAAGAAGAACAAGAAGAAGAAAGACTAAAATTTCTCCGAAATCAACTATTATTTGGCCTACTTTCATCATTTCCATCCTAATTAATCTAGCTAATTGCTATAATAATTAACTATTGCTAGTGACTCATCTTACTTAGGAGCTTTCTAATGGTGAAAAAGTTATTATAATCGGTTCAGTAGTTTCAGTTCTTCTATATCTATTTTATATATAAAACTACCGACTCACCCTCGCTTCGCTCGGGTTCGCCCATAGCTTGCTTCCCCATACGAGCTTTCATCCCCATTCTCACGCCCTTAAGGGATGATTTCCGGGATAAAAACTATTTCACTCACTCACTTTTCATATCATGAGATTTAAAAAAAAACTTATTTTAGTAAAAAAAAAAAATTATTTTCTTCTATACAAAACTTTTTGACAATAACAAACACAAAAAAAGAAGAATTATCCAGTTTGGTGCAGTCCATCCGAAGTTATGCGCGTACATACATTTCGGTGATTCATTTTTATTTATATAGATAGAAGATGCTTTGTCCTGACTGACTGACCATGGATCAAAGCACAGCCTAAACCGCTGATAGTAGAAACGTATATGATAAAGGCATCCAATAAGAAAGGATTCTTCGAACTTCATCCCCTAAGGGTGTAAAATAGGAGATGGAAGAGTGTATGAAACTCCGTCAATCTTAATGTGAAATTCACGGAAAGTGGTATTTAGTTTTAAGGTAAAACAATAAATATATTTAATAGCTTTTTTAGAATTTATTTCTTTAAAAGGATAAGAGAGGGTGATAAAGTTTATATCTAAAAAAAAACTTTGCGGGGACACGTTAGTATCCCCGCCAAGAAAAACGAAGCGAAGCGCAAGAAGAGCACTAACTACCTTTTCTCGAAGCGCTTCGTCCTTTTTTTGAACCCTCATAACTTAGGTTTGGATTATACCAGATAAATAAAATGCTCGGAATATGATATCAATAGTAAACTTATTAAAAATTTAAAGTTTTAATTGCACAGCTCTTATTTTATTGATATCTAAAAAAATCCGATTTCATCACTTTACGCCCATGTAACGGTAGCGAAACCGATCGCCATCGGAGATTATTCCGAATCCAAAGGAAAATTATATGTGTATATGTATAACTTCTCGACTGGCCACAGCAGTGAAAACTACAACAGCCTTAGAAAGCGCGCGAGAGAGAACCTAGCTAAAGTGTATCCTGATGTTTCTAATATACAAACGAAGTCTTGGCTTTGCTCTGTGGACACGCTTTAGGTAGTCACCCCCAAAAACAACAGTGCTACTGCTTTTAATAACATCCTGCTGAAATCTTTTGAAGATTTAGTAATAGAATATATGTTTGTCGATACAGTGATGCAAGTGAATGAAACTGTTCACTATCCTGTGGAGTTCCTTAACATTGTAACCCTTGGAGGCCTTTCTCATAAACTCCTTCTGAAAGTTAGCACACCATGAACAAGCCACTTTAGCTATGTAACGGGAGTAGAGAGCGAGTAATACATAAAACATTATAGTGGCCACAGTGTTTGTTGTATATGCTTGGGGGGAATCAGTATTCATTTCTATATCATAATTAACCTCAGACTTGTGCCTTCGAATGTCATCCATTACAATGGATTCCACCTTAAAATTTGCTTTTCAATGACCATTAATAAAGCTCAGGGCTAGTCGTTAAAATAGCAGGCATAGACTTAAGAGAAGATTGCTTCTCAGAGAGATTTTAGCAGAACCCAAAAGAACTAACTATACAATGAAGTTCTTAATTAAATTCCAGTTTTCTTTTTGCGAGTTTTTAGTGTAGACTAAGTTAAGTGAATCTATAGTGATTACATAAATGTACACATAATATTACTTTATTCACAGAATATACGTTAAATATCTTTTCAGATACTGGATTTTAAGTTACGATCACTAAAATTAAATTTGTTTTCCATAATATCTTTAAGACAATATGAAAAGCGAACTTATTTTTGCAAATACGTAATATATTGGAGATCTTGTAGCAACCGAGAGCGGCTCTCGCTACGGTCTTGCCCCGAGGTGATAAGATACCGAGCGATACTCATTACGAAAACACCCGAGTCTTCGATTACTTATATATATTTTTTTATATTTGAGATCTTGTAGCAACCGAGAGCGGCTCTCGCTACGGTCTTGCCTCGAGGTGATAACATACCGAGCGATTCTCATTACGAAAACACCCGAGTCTTCGATTACTTATATATATTTTTTTATATTTGAGATCTTGTAGCAACCGAGAGTGGCTCTCACTACGGTCTTGCCCCGAGGTGATAACATACCGAGCGACTCTCGCTACGGAAACACACGAGTGTTGGATTACTTGTATATATTTTTTTATAATTAAGATCATAAATACATATGTTTTAATTTATATATTACTTCTTAAAACTATTTACAATATTGGTAATTACATTTTAGTCATCGCTAACACTTACAGTATATCCACTATTTACTCAAAATTCAGGCTTCTAGCTTTATCCATAACGAAGTTATGGGGGGGTGGAAAATGCTCTGAATCGCTTCGAGAAAAGGATGGTACTGCCGTGCCCTTTTTTTTTTTGCTCGACTTGGCGGGGGCACTGCCGTGCCCCCCGATAAAGTATATATTGCGTAAACGTAACATTTTATTTTAGTGTGTAGGTAATTATGTTAATAACAACATCACAATTCGCAATACTCGGCGGTATGGAACGCTCGGTGCACGGGTCAGTATATAACTAGACACAGACAACTACAGTTCCTTTATTTTTGTAGTTTGAACGCGGGCGAAGCCGCGCGTTCTACTAGTCCGTGTATATTAAAGATTTAGTATAATTGTACTAAATTCAAAATAATAAGCAATTTAAACAAGTCTAGCTGTACTTTTATATGATAGTAATATCTTACACAAAACATCTCTGATAATCTAATATATAAATATCTCGTGTCACGGTTTTTGTGGCCGCACTCCTCCAAAACCGCTCGACCGATTTTAATTTTCCTTTTGTATATTTGGTAGGTATGAGAATAGGTCGTAAAGTATTATTCTCTCTCCTACCCCATCCCTCATTTCTTAATAGTGATTTTAATATTTTTGTATGAACAATATCTAAATATAATATAATAATGGGTTGGGTTCTGCTAGTAAGTAATAAATTTCTGGTACGGTAAAATAGTTTTTGAAGCCTTTCACAAAGTTTGAATACACAGTGTGTATAAAAAGTTTATATATGACTATAATGATGCGTGTTAAATAAGTGTGGGTGTAATAAATTAAAAATAGAGTAGTCTCAAGTCCTCAGCAGACCTGCAGCTCTAGTTGCTTAAGTCAATTAAATCACTTTAATGCTGTCAAGGGCCTCTTGAGACATAAGCCATTACGCATCTGTGAACGTGCAAATTTGATATAAATTGCATATCTCTTATCGTTAGTCAAATGGCTGCAGATCCAGAACAACTGAGTTTGAGTCCCGGGTAGGACTAAGTGTAGTTACTGGGGTTTTCCGTCAAGAAATGCTGTGGTCCAGCCTGAAAATCAATGTCAAAATGTGACCGAAATCGATCATTAAGACATTATTTTTATACTCGCTGAGACTAATCATCCATATCCATCCATGTTTAAGAGGCGGATTTGTATAAACCAACCCCTTAAGCTCTCTGATATTCGTAACAAAATAACTATAATTAAATTACAATTATGTGAAAATCTTAACTTTCTTTTCCAAATACTTTATTGGAAGTATTTTATTTTATCACAATATAATTCTGCACTCTCTATAAAATACGAACCTAGGGCCCCTTAAATTCACGGTTCGCCCCTGCATGCATTTCTAACTTTAAATGTACGTATGAGACAGCAAGGGAGATGCTGTAGCTAAATTAACATTTAGAACGGAAAAATTAACTGCACTA